GCCCATATATATATATATATATATATATATATATATATATATGTTGGGGGTATAATTAAAGAGGGTATATATTATAAATGTGGGTACATTGAACCCTTTTAGTTTTGAAGGAAGTTGTAGACAGAATACACGATTCCATTCTTTTATTTGCATAAAGTTGGAAACAAAAATTTTATGATGTGATTGCAATTAACTCAAGTCTTAATTTCATAACCAAAATTATTAAAATAATTTGGAAATTATACATACATATATATATATATATATGTATATATATATGGCCTAATTAAAATGAGAACTATTTTGTTTGTGGTAACAGATCCAAGCTCAACTACAAATCAAAGATTAAATTAAAAAATTAATATTTTGGTAATTTTAACTTGAAATAATAACTAAGGGCATTTTAGGATTTTATAAATATCCCCTCTCATCTCTCATCTTTCCTCTCTCCGGCGAATCTTATTCGATGAACCTTATTCTGATGAATCTTATGTGAACATAAGATACAAACTCGTATATTCACTGTGATATCCAGATATACATACATGATGCACAATGTGATACCCTTTGTGAAACAATGAAAATAACAAAAATGCACACTATGATACATTTCATAAAACAAAGAAAATACATTGTGATACACGTGAAACATTGTGAACGTTATCACTATGATACACTTTGATTCACAAATTTTTTTAAAATACGATGTGTATTAGGTAATTGATAATCTAGGTAACTAATTTTAATTGAATATTTTGATTAGTTGTCAAAAATAGAATTATTATATTACCCTTTTAGCTTATTTAAGAAATATTCTTAGATATCTCAAAAAAATGGATCATATTGAATTTCACGGTTACCACAAATTAATCAATTTTCTTTTGAATGAACGCCAGAATACCGGACAAAATGATAATATTTTGCACACAAAAATAACATTAAATGATATCATGGATGTAAATAAATATTATTAGTTAAGTTGAAAGTCACAAAGGGTAAATAAGTAATTTAACATAAATATCGATAAGAGAAAATATCATAATTCTGCGAGAAAAAATAAATATTTAATATCGAGTTTAGAGAACACTAATTATTTGAAAAGAGTTAAAATACAGATTGAATGCTCAAAATACTCCTTATTAAAAACACAAAATAAAACCTGCAGACTGTATCTAAGTTAAAAAAAACTTCAGTATTTAAGATAAACAAATTGCGGGTACGTCAGTATTCTCATAAAAGAGAAAATCTGTTCAGTTAATGTGAATTGGCGTTTGTGTAAATCATCGTAAATCAGACTGATGAACACATCGATAATAAGGTATAAAAAACAGGGGAGGTCAAGACAAGTTTATTTGTGTTGGAGGATAAAAAGGAAGTATATCAAAATGTTTCGATACCACGGTTCAAAAGGGAACAAGAACGACACGTTGTGGGCCCCAATTTCTCCCAATCTTGAAATTGCCCTTCTGTTTGATTTAACAAGTCATCGATATTGATTATCATCTCATAAAACAAGAGGTTTTTAGTTCAGTTTTTGTTGTACGACACTGATTTCAATGTTGCAGTTACCAAAAAAGTAAGAGAAATGGCTCACAGACGTTGTTAAGGTGTTTGTATGTTATCTTAACAATAACTTGTGCCCCAAAGTCATATAGTAATTCATGTAAGTAACCTTCCACATTGAGTGAACAAGAACTTCCTTAATTTTCTACATGATAAATATAAAAAAGAAAAGTATAAAAAAAAAAAACTCAATGGACTTTAGTGTTTGAAATGATTAAGTTTTTGTACATTCCAAAACATATTAAATCATTCATTGGACTTTCGAAAACCTGTTAGATACATACTTATGACATATACAACTGGTTAATGTGGTAAAATAATGGAAAAAGTCTGGAAAAAAAACCAATGATTTTCATATTGTGAACGATTAAGTACCTAAACATTTTTTGAACCAAAAGAGTACTTAAATCTATAAAATGAAACAAATGTACCAAAAAAGTACTTACATTTACAAAATAATATTTACATTTAAAAGAATTACTGATGAAATTTATATTAATTAAAAACAAAATATATTCTGTCAGTGATTTTTCAAACTAAAAAATAAAAAAAAATGTTTTAAAAGGATTACTGATGAAATTTATTTTAATTAAAAATAAAATATATTTTTTATTTTAGTTAAAATAAATTTTATTAGTAATCATTTTTTAAATCTTTTTTTATTTTTTAATTTAAAAATCATTGACATAATATCTTTTATTTTTAATTAAAATAAATTTCATCAATTATCTTTTTTAAACGTAAGTACTTTTTTGGTATATTTTATTTTATTTTATACAATATAAGTACTTTTTTTGGTTCAAAAAATGTTTAGGGACTTTATCACTCAAAATATGAATGTTCATTGGTTTTTTTTCATGTTTTTTCCATTATTTTACTATGATAATTAGTTTTATAGGTCATAAGAATGCATATAATATGTTTTAGAAAGTCCAATGAGTTGTTTAACAAGTTTTGGAATGTCTAAGGACTTATTTGTTTCAAAAAATTGTTCAAGGACTTAATCATTCCAAACACTAAAGTTCATTGGTTTTTTTAGACTTTTCCCAAATTTTTTAGATATTAATATTTATCGATTTTTTATTCAATTTCTCACCTTGAAATCATTGTCGACTTTATAATATAATAATCAAATTAAATCACATGTACCTACATCTCATATATGAATACGAACAACGATATTTTTCATTGGTTCATATTTGAACATGTGAATCACGTGAATATTATTCATAACTACTACATGAATAAATTTCAAATTTATAAACAAGATTCTGAATCAGTTTAAAATCATATGTGAACATATGAATCTTAGTTATAACTTGTACGTGAATCAATTTATCTATACTATATTATAAAGTATTTGACAAAAACTCTTAAAAACCATTTTTTATGCATAAAATACTGTTTATTAATGCATATTACTTAAAACTCAAGATTACAAGTAGATTGTGCGTAAGCACAACTTATTAAAGCTCCATATCTGAATTCGTGTAACTAACTGCAGATAAACATAATCAAATACAGGATAAACATCTCATTTTAAATATAAAAAATGTAAAATCTAATTATATTTTAGATTTTTTATATTTAAAATAAGATGTTTATCTTGTATTTGATTATGTTTATCTGGAATTAGTTACACGAATTCAGATATGGAGCTTTAATAAGTTGTACTTACG